TTAAGGGGTCAATTGACAATTTTGGTCATGTTGACTTATTTGTAGATCTTACTTTGCTGTACATTATTGCTGTTCACAGTTTATCTCTATCTATAATAATATTTAAGATAATGACCAAAAACAGCAAAATTTCCTTAAAATTACCAATTTAGGGGCAGCAACCCAACAACGGGTTGTCAGATTCATCTGAAAATTTCAGGGCAGATAGATTTTGACCTGATAAACCATTTTACCCCGTCAGATTTGCCCTAAATGCTTTGGTTTCAGAGATATAAGCCTAAATCAACATTTTACCCCTATGTTCTATTTTTAGCCATGGCGGCCATCTTGGTTGGTTGGCCGGGTCACCGGACACATTTTTTAAACTAGATACCCCAATTATGATTGTGGCCAAGTTTGGTCAAATTTGGGCCCAGTAGTTTCAGAGAAGATTTTTGTAAAAGTTTACGGACGACGGACGCCAAGTGATGAGAAAAGCTCACTTGGCCCTTTGGGCCAGGTGAGCTAAAAATGAGGTCATGGACAATGGACATGTGACAGACAGAAACTTCGTAACATAAGGCATCTATATACAAAGTATGAAGCATCCAGGTCTTCCACCTTCTAAAATACAAAGCTTTTAATAAGTTAGCCAACGCCGCTGCCAGATCACTATCCCTAGGTTGAGCTTTCAGCGACAAAAATCATCCTTATAGGGGAATATCTCTATTAACATCTAACTGACAATTTCAGTCATGTACACATATTTATAGGTTAAAGTTTCTGTTCATCTATAACAGTTGTCAAGATAATAGGTAAAATACACAAAAATTGGTAAAAATCATCATCAAAGGGCAATAACTCTAGTAAGGAGTCGACGGACGATTTCGATCATGAAGACTTGTTTGTAGAACTTGTCTTGATCATTTTTGCAATTTTAAAGTTACTCTTTATCATAGTTTTCAAGATAATAGGCAAAAATAAACAAGAGGCTCTCAATAGCCTGAATCGCTCACCTGTAATTTTTTGCATAAATCTTTCATCAATGATTATTTTTGCTTTTCAATATATATCAATGAATGGCTTAAAAATTCCGTTGAAATGTTCTTTGTATCCGTCATATTTTCCTCAAAATCAAAGAAATGCATTTTACCCCTATGTTTCATTTTAGCCATAGTGGCTATGTTTCCTGACGTACAAGAAAATAAAATACAAAACTTATACTAGACTTTTTTTAAAGTAAGCAAACTAAATGAACAAATCGTGAAAAATCGATTTTAAAGGGCAATAACTCCTTAAGGGGACAATTGACAATGTTGGTCATACGAATTTATTTGTAGATCTCACTTTGCTGAACATTTTTGCTGTTTACAGTTTATCTTTATCATTAATAATATTCAAGATAATAACCAAAATCTGCAAAATTTCCTTAAAATTACCAATTAAGTGGCAGCAATCCAACAATGGGTTGTTGGATTCATCTGAAAATTTTAGGGCTGACAGAGCTTGGCCTAATAAATATTTTTACCTCTCATTCTCAGATTAGCTCTAAATGCTTTGGTATTTTAGATACAAGCCAAAAATTGCATTTTACCCCTACGTTCTATTTTTAGCCATGGCGGCCATGTTATTTGACGAAACAGTAAATAAAACACAAACTTTATTCTAGATACCCTATTAGCATCATTCAGCTTAAGTTTGGTTGGAATTGGTTTAGTAGTTTCAGAGGAAAAGATGTTTGAAATAGTTTACACCAGACTGACCACAGACGATGACGGACGCCAAGTGATGGCAAAAGCACACAGTTCCTTCGTAACGGTGAGCTAAAAACTAAGAGGCTCTAAAGAGCCTGTGTCCTTCACCTATGTTCTATTTTTAGCCATGGCGGCCATCTTGGTTGGTTGGCCGGGTCACCGGACACATTTTTTAAACTAGATACCCCAATGATAATTGTGGCCAAGTTTGGTTAAATTTGGCCAAGTAGTTTCAGAGGAGAAGATTTTTGTAAAACGAAAAGATAACAATCAATCAATCTATAATAATATTCAAGATAATAACCAACTAGAGGCTCTAAAGAGCCTGTGTCGCTCACCTTGGTATATGTGCATATTAAACAAAGGACACAGATGGATTCATGACAAAATTGTGTTTTGGTGATGGTGATGTGTTTGTAGATTTTACTTTACTGAACATTCTTGCTGCTTACAATTATCTCTATCTATAATGAACTTGGCCCAGTAGTTACAGTGGAAAATATTTTGTAAAAATTTACAAAATTAATAAAATTGTAAAAAATTGACTATAAAGGGCAATAACTCCTTAAGGGGTCAATTGACAATTTTGGTCATGTTGACTTATTTGTAGATCTTACTTTGCTGTACATTATTGCTGTTTACAGTTTATCTCTATCTATAATAATATTCAAGATAACCAAAAGCTGCAAAATTTTCTTAAAATTACCAATTCAGGGGCAGCAACCCAACAACGTGTTGCCTGATTGGTCTGAAAATTTCAGGGCAGATAGATCTTCACCTAATGAACAATTTTATCTACGTCAGATTTGCTCTAAATGCTTTGGTTTCAGAGATATGAGCCAAAAACTGCATTTTACCCTATGTACTATTTTTTAGCCATGTCGGCCATCTTGGTTCGCGAGCCTGGTCATCGTACACATTTTTTAAACTAGATACCCTAATGATGATTGTGGACAAATTTGGTTAAATTTGTCTTAGTTTCAGAGAAGATTTTTGTAAAAGATTACAAAAATTTACGAAAAATGGTTAACAAGAGTGCACACGCTGAAATGTCTCGCCTTCTTTACTAATCATTGATATTATGTTGATAGTCCTAAATATAAAGCTTTATTACAACTGTCACATAAACTCAACATTAACCAAGTAAACTAAACATTGACCAATGAACCATGAAAATGAGGTCAAGGTCAGATGAACCATGCTAGGCAGGCATGTACAGCTAACAATTCTTCCATACAACAAATATAGTTGACCTATTGCTTATAGTTTAAGAAAAACAGATGAAAACACAAAAACTTAACACTGAGCAATGAACCTTGAAAATGAGGTCAAGGTCAAATAAAACCTGCGTAACTGACATATAGATCATAAAATATTTCCATACACCAAATATAGTTGAACTATTGCATATAGTATTAGAAAAAAAGACCAAAACTCAAAAACTTAACTTTGACCACTGAACCATGAAAATGAGGTCAAGGTGAGATGACACCTGCCAGCTAGACATGTACACCTTACAATCATTCCATACACCAAATATAGCTGACCTATTGCATGCAGTATTAGAAAGAAAGACTAAAACTCAAAAACTTAACTTTGACCACTGAACCATGAAAATGAGGTCAAGGTCAGATGACACCTGCCAGCTAGACATGTACACCTTACAATCATTCCATACACCAAATATAGTAGACCTATTGCATACAGTATAAGAAAAACAGACCAAAACACAAAAACTTAACTATAACCACTGAACCATGAAAATGAGGTCAAGGTCAGATGACACCTGCCAGTTGGACATGTACACCTTACAGTCCTTCCATACACCGAATATACTAGACCTATTGCTTATAGTATCTGAGATATGGACTTGACCACGAAAACTTAACCTTGTTCACTGATCCATGAAATGAGGTCGAGGTCAAGTGAAAACTGTCTGACGGGCATGAGGACCTTGCAAGGTACGCACATACCAAATATAATTATCCTATTACTTATAATAAGAGAGAATTTAACATTACAAAAAATCTGAACTTTTTTTTCAAGTAGTCACTGAACCATGAAAATGAGGTCAAGGACATTTGACATGTGACTGACGGAAACTTCGTAACATGAGGCATCTATATACAAAGTATGAAGCATCCAGGTCTTCCATCTTCTAAAATATAAAGCTTTTAAGAAGTTAGCTAACGCCGCCGCCGCCGTAGCCGGATCGCTATCCCTATGTCGAGCTTTCTGCGACAAAAGTCGCAGGCTCGACAAAAATTGAGTATAAAGGGCAATAACTCCTTAAGGGGTCAACTGATCATTTTGGTTATGATGACTTATTTGTAGATCTTACTTTGCTGAACATTATTGCTGTTTACAGTTTATCTCTATCTATAATGATATTCAAGATAATAACCAAAAACAGCAAAATTTCCTTAAAATTACCAATTCAGGGGCAGCAACCCAACAACGGGTTGTCTGATTCATCGAGCAGATAGATCTTGACCTGATAAACCATTTTACCCTATGTCAGATTTGCTCTAAATCCTTTGGTTTCAGAGATATAAGCCAAAATCTACATTTTACCCCTATGTTCTATTTTTAGCCATGGCAGCCATCTTGGTTGGTTGTCCGGGTCACCGGACACATTTTTTAAACTAGATACCCTAATGATGATTGCGGACAAGTTTGGTTTAATTTGGCCAAGTAGTTTCAGAGGAGAAGATTTTTGTAAAAGTTAACGACGACGACGAGGGACGCCAAGTGATGAGAAAAGCTCACTTGGCCCTTTGGGCCAGGTGAACTAAAAAAAGGAAAAATTTGTCAGATTTTCTCTATAACGGTTTTCCAAATAATAGACTTACATTTTACCCCTGTGTTCTATTTTTAGCCATGTCGGCCATCTTTGTTGGCAGACGGGGTCATCGGACATATCTTTTAAACTAGATACCCCAATGATGATTGTGAACAAGTTTGGTTAAATTTGGCCCAGTAGTTTCAGAGGAAAATATTTTTGTAAAAGTTAACAGACGATGACGAGGGATGACAAGTGACGAGAAAAGCTCACATGGTCCTATGGGCCATTAAATAAAGTCCAGTTAAGTCTGACTTCTTGTTAAGGAGATCTAGTTGTCAACATGTTTGTCCATATGGTCATCAGAATTCTTCATCCTAAACTTCAATGAGGAAATAAATACCATTAAAAAACATTTTAACAACAATGGTGTAAAGTAAATCCTGGATCAAGTTGTTTTAAGGAGGCAAGATAAACATACTACATAAGAAGTATCAAAAGTTTTATTGATTATTAATTGTCCCATTATTTGTTAAACAGATTATAGTATCCTGCTTCCTTCCGTTCTATCAAAAATAAATTACAAACAAGAGGCTCCATCACAGGGTTGTGTCATTTCTATGTGAGAGAGAGAGAGAGAGATTTCTATACTACCTTTGGCTTAGTGGGTCCTAACAAACAAACACAGACATTATATATTTTGATTGTTCACATAAAATACACATATCATAATGACTAGCTTTAATATTAACTGATTTATTGTTGTTTGAACAACTTTTGTTTTACATAAAACACACGTAGAGATAATTTCAAAGAGATTTTTTAGAAATATTCAACGTTTCAATTTTGCTTTGTCTTTTTACATAAATATTTTTAATAAAATAAAAATTCAATACCATTGTTTTATTAAATTTTCCCCGTTATGATTTGTTCAAGCAAACCCTTTAAATAACAGATTATTTGATCGATCGATGTTTACTTAATGTCCAGTGGCAAATGATTAATGCTATAAATAACAGAAGTCTATCCCTCTTTTCTAAGATAATGGCTATTGAAATGATACAACCCTGTTTATGAAAGTCTATCCACATATGTCGTGGACATTATGATATGATATTTAAGCACTATAATTCTGTGAAAATAAACAGTAATTCACATTAGGCCATACAAAATAACCATCACTGGACAGCTTAACAAATTCAAAACAAAGTTTATGAGGTGGGAGGCTTATTATTTCTTCTTTTAATTCACATTGGAATACTGGAACTTGTCTTCAGTTAAAAAGACCTGTTCTACAATTTATTTCTGACAGAAACAGAAAATGACTGTTGCCAAAGTACTAACAAATGTCATCAACAATTATAAAGAAAAACAAGTTACATTATATCAAATGATTCTTTTGTGCAAAATAAAAACAAAAAACAAACATTCAAATTCATTAAATGTATCAGCAAAGATTAGCATGTATAGAAAACATTTTACAAAAGAGAGGGAGGGAAATTTTTTTCTTTGTTCTGCATTTTATAGTTTAATTATACTTTTGATATTTGTAAATTGACATTTATACAAAAATTTGTAGAAAATCTTGTGTATTTCCTACACTGTTTTTGTCTGTTTTTATCTATTATTGTTCATGGCAATCTCATCATTTGACAAATTTTCCCTTGTGCGGACGTATTCCTGTTCATACCAGATATGTCTTAAACTGACAATCCTATCTTCAACATACATATAAAAATGACTGTACAGGAAAAACAATATTTAAATAACAAACATTAATTAATTCAATGTTCAAGTCTTAATTTTCCTTTTAACACAGTTTCACAAACAATTTAAACGAAACAAATTTTATTCATCACGATTTAAAGTTCTCTGGGTCAAACTCCTTGCCAACAAACTGACACAAATGTTTCACCACACAAACTCGGCTAACTGAAGCAGGATAAACGAAAGCTGATATTTCTTGATGTACTTTAAAGGAAGTGGCATTTCCATGGCAACAGTCAATGAGTGCACCAATTTGAATAACTGCACTGCCACTTGTTAGTGACACAAAGTTTGTTCATTAAGCAGTAAAGTTATGATTCATAAAGAGCTATGTTTGAAAGTTTTATACACAATGCAGTCAATATAGTTCCTAAATTTTTTTCAATTTAGCTTCAATATCTGCCTCGTCTAAATCACCCAGGTCATTTGCTTGCACTTCTATTTTTATAGCCTGTAATTTCTTTTTTACAGCGTCTTTACTGGATGCATATATCATCTTTTCTTTCATTGGAGCTTCATCTGGACTCCTGAAAACAAAGTAATAAGTTTAAATTAAAAACATCATTTACATTGTATACATGTATAGATTCTGTAAAATAATTATCACTGAACAAAATCATAAAAAAGGTTCAGCTTGAATCCTTAGAATAAGATAATCTATTACATTGTACATGCAAGTTAATATTATACAATTTGGTAAGGTTGATACTTATCAATTATGGACTTTTGACAAAGTCAAGACTTTATATATCGACCTGTTCAGATTATATTGACAGAGGAAAGAGTTCCGAGTGTTAATAATATAATCTAACAGTTCCATATATAACGTATTGACAGAGTGAAAGTCCTTAATTTATATATAACTGTTTGTAAAAGGTGTATTCTGGAAATAAACCAACTTTCTTTCTGTGTATTTTATGTTGTATTTTGCAAGATTTTTAATATCAACTGTCATGAGTCGTTTCCATAAATTTTACTTTTTTTTCTGGATACTTCATCAGTTGATATATGATGTGACCATTTTGTGCATATTCAAATATATCTAGCTATGTTGAAAAACTTGTATAATAGCAAGTTATAGAAATACAAATTATTCAGTCTCTATAAAGAATAAACTGATGACACAGAGATATGTCTCGCCTGTTGGCATAAAATTCAGAAAAAGACAATCTGATGGACAGCAACATTGCTTAAGTTATTAATTCAAAGTCGCTGGACCATGATCTAGTAGGCAGGGCCTCGAAATGGTTGACGAACTGAGATGTACAGACAGTAATGTAACTTTATAGAAAATATCTTTGACTAGTAGTCTAGTATTGTAAGTAGTTCTTATCAATCTAACTTGAGCAGAAAACTTAATATTGACCATGACCTAGGGGGCAGGGCCTCAAATAATCATCAATCTGATATGAACTAATAGTAATGCAACTTCATACAAAATATTATTGATCTATCACAAGTAGATCCTATCATATCAGGGTTGGCAAAAACCCGGGTTTTATGAGTATTGGCCAGCCCAGTGGGAAATACTGGGAAAACCCAGGTTTTCCTGGGTAATATGAAATACTGGCCTGAATTTTAAAGAGGATTTATAATTTGTGATTAATCACAAATGCAATACATTAAAGATGTTTATAAAATTAAGACATAGTATTTTAATTTATAAGTTCTTTTGGATTATTCAAACAAAGCTTGGAAATTAACGAAGTATCCTAAAATGTGCAAAACTTGTATTCTGCCTACATAAAAAAAATTAAATTAGTTTAGAAAAGGAAGAAACTGAATTTTCAATCTTCTAGAAATGACTCTAAATGGTTATCTGTATAAAATGTATATTTTATACTTATTGACTGGGTATGGGTGGAATAGTAAGTTTATTGTCCCAGAGGTGAAACTATTGCCGTGAGGCATAGCCGAGGGCAACAGTTGTATCCGAGGGGACAATAAACTTACTATTCCACTCATACCCAGTCAATAAGGTACAACATGACGTCATAACTCCCGCCGTATTCTCAACATTATCAAATCCCGTTGCTGCATTTGAAATTCCGCAAAATATAATGATGCTTGTGGTCATATAGTTTCACCGAGGTACAATAGTTGGAAACTATTGACCGGTCAAATAGTTCAACGCTTGCAATTTGAAAAATAGTGAAAATATTGTGTACTTTTTTATATAGAAAATGATAACTGAGGTATAATAAATTAAGCTATAATACTATGAAAGTTCAACAAGTCTTTACCATGTTTACTATTCTGTGTAAAAATAAGCTTAAAAAATTGTATTGGCCAGTACTACCCGTTTCTGGGAATATTGCCCAGCTATGAAAAACCCTGGGTTTTCCTGCCCTGGTAATAGTAAATACTTTGCCAACCCTGTATTAAATTAACTTTAGATGAAAACTTAACATTGAAAAATGCTTATTAATTCAAAGTCATTTGACCATGTCCTAGGGGGGGCAGGGCCTCAAAATAGTCGTCAAACTGATATGTACTGATAGTAGTGCAACTTTGTTTTAAATATCAATGATCTTTCACAAATAGTTCCTATCAAACTAACTTAAGCAGAAAACTTAACAATTGTTGACTCCGTATCCATCGTCGCCGGAAAAGCAATCTTTAGGTTCTTACTGGGCCAGACAAAAATAAGATTTCCACTGTTTTTTTAATGCAAAATGGGTGCAACTTGGGTACTGTGACGCTAAATATAATTGGTCAACACTGTTCAGAGATCTTCCTCCATAAATTGGGAAAGTTGACAGGGTTTTCTATGTTGAATAGTTCTCATTGATATCAGGTGTGAATAGGCTGTGTTGCAACATCTTGCATGTACATGTATGTCAAGTGATTGAACCCATTCATACTTCTTTCATTCTGCATATAAACAATAGGTGGAAATTGGACGAGACAAGATTCAAAGCACCAAGTTGATCTGTCCCAAGTAGTTCCAGCCCAATAGTAAAATAATGAATGATAATTAAAATAAATGGAGAATGTGTCCATGGGATACAGATGATGCCCCCACTTGCATACAACATTATAAAGGGACATAACTAGAGAACTGTCAACTGTAAAAGTGATGCCACCCAAATTCAAACTTGATCTGTGTTTTATGATAATAAGCACTGTGTATACATGTAAGTTTCATAACATTTTGTTGAGGCAAACTAAAGTTAGAGAATGGAAACAATAAATTCAGTAATTTTTTCATTTATAAAGGGGCATAACTTAAGAATGGTAAAAGTGACCGCACTCAAAGTCTAACTTGATCTGTGTTTTGTGGTAATAAGCTTTGTGTACAAGTTTCATAACATTAGGTCAAGGGAACTTAAGTTGAAGAACAGAATACAATTACTAGACGTACGAACAGACAGACAAGGATAAACCTTAATGCCCCCTCAGCAATGGCGGGGGCATAAAAATTTGAAGGTTTTGACAGAGTTCATTTATGGTAAGTGGAATTTACACAGTATAGATGTGCAAATCAAACAACATTTCTCTATTACATGTAGAACAGTTTTTATAACTTTAAACATAAACAAAGCTTGTATGCATCAGCTTGGGACTCTGCATGTACAGTTGTGTATGAAACTATTTGTTATTACAACAGTTAAGACTTGTTAAGATCAAAGTTATTTGAAATTTACTGATTAATGTTAATTAATATTAAAGTTCATTATACCGGTAACCTTTTAGCAAAAATTGCCATATTTACACTACAAACTTCTCTGAATACAAACTAACCTGTGCACCTGGAAAAGTTTGAGAGCATAGCTGGACTTAAATAAACTTTAAAATGAATTTTAAGTTTCAGAATATTTAAAACTTAACCTGATTTTGCTATTCATCTTTTTTTCATTACTGCAGAAAGTGCCAAAATAAACTAAGTTGGAAAAGAGGTTAAAGAAGCTCCTGTCATATAATAAATGATGTGAATTGTAATGATTTAAATTATGTAACTGAGTGGACTATATCAAATGAAACTTGGGTGTTAGTTTATTTTGCTATCTTTTGCAGTCTGAAAATAGTGCACATCAATATCCAGGTAAGTTTTTAATTTTCTAAAAACATATAACTTATATGCCTCTAGGTCCAGCAGTGCTTTAAAACTTTCCGAGATGCTTCGTTTTGTTTGTACAGAGTAGATTTTGAGGTTGTCAATTCCTTTTGATGAACCTAAATAGCTTCAGTAATACATGTAAAAAGTTTACACAAATATAATTGAGAATGGAAATGGGGAATGTGTCAAAGAGACAACCCTACCAAAGAGCAGAAAACAGCCCAAGGCCACCAACATGACCAATGGGTCTTCAATTCATCGAGAAAATCCCACATCCGGGGCGAGCTTTATCTAGCCCCTAAATGAACTCTAATAAATTCATAATCAACATTATGCTTTATATCTGTTTTATCCTTCCTTTGATGGCATTTTTTTTTAAAATTGGGGCTGGATTAATTTTTTAATGTGGGGCAGAGGATTCATGTCAACTCGCCCCACTTATGCAAAGGGTTTACATCACACAGCATGTAAGCCAGCAAAGTTGCGCCATTTCTAAAAATTAGTAAAATCCTGCTATATTTGGGCTTACATGTACCATATAACCCCATTTATGAAATGCAATCTAATCTTGATTATTTTAAGCCTACCAACTCACCCCATCATTGAAAATGAGTTAATCCTGATGAATAAAGGTCTGCCAACTCTCCCCACTATGAAATTTTTATTTTTTTTAAATCCCACTGAACGAAGGACTACCAACTTGCGCCACTTATGAAAAGTAGTTTTTTATCCGGATATATAAAGGTAGCACTCTAATTAGAAAATAAAATTAAAATTGAACTACAAATGTTTAATCATCTTCTATTCCTGGCTTTCTAATGCATAAAGCCAACTGTTAGTGTCATACATGTGCATACATTGTACATGTATGTAATCGGTATCTTCCATAGATTCGGTTTTCAAGAGTTAAAATGGTGAAATATAATTCCTTTTTTGTGTATCCAGGCAACATTTTTCTCAACATTATTTACCATAAAATATTGCAAAAAGGGGCATGAAAATGTCACATATATCCCTTCAAAATTTGGTTCAAACTAGAATTCTATTTTACACTAGCGTTCATATTTGAAAAATCCACAGGGGCCAAAATTTGAAACTACACACCTAACTGTGGAGTGCTTCCAAAGCTCTGCCAACTCGCCCCACTAATGAAAATCAATCATTAAAGAGTTAATTCCCATTGAATTTGAAAGAAAATTACAACATCTCCTATTTTAGTGTTATTTTCAAATAAATACAACAACTACATAATAATAACCTATCTACAATTTTATTTTAAGAAATGAAGCATCAACTAATTTCAATCAGTACATAAATATCAAACTTGATTCTCTTTTTTTATTATTAATTTTTTAAGTGTTTTTGTCTGTTGTTATTTTAGTTACAGTTGGGGAGATTGTGTACATCGAACTACAATGTACTTTTCACAAGTGGGGCAAGTTGGTCTGGAGCGATTTGACAGCGTTGTCTTGCTTCTGGCCAGATGGACCTGGGCTGGAATGACTTGGGACAGATAAAGACATGTTGCAACCAGTCTGAGCAATAATAGCACCTTTTACATTTAGATAATATTAATGACCAAAAAGCTAACACCATGGGCAAAAGATTAATGTGGATATGGCACAAACACTTTTAAGTTAGACTTCCCATATATATTAGAAGTAATGAACAATTCATATAAGTTATATTTTTGTTTGCATTGAGTAAAGGTATAAAAAAAAGGGTGTGAATCAGGAGACGGTCGTGATATTCTTTAGCCACCTTTTATAAATGGATAGTTGACCGTCCCAAGTGCTTGTGGGATATGGGGAGGGGAGGGCCGTGGTCTATTGATCAAAGATGGGCCTCTAACCTACGTTGATTCCTTTTAATTATGCTTTCCACATAATTTATATCGACTCGCACTTCACGATAAACGCTGGACTTCAAACCTGCAAACCGGAAGTTAATGCCGGTTTTGTCAGAAAATGTGAGCTATGTATTTGTGCAGAAACTTGCTTTCAAGATAAGAGTAGCCCACTTTACTCACCACGAAACAAGAATAATTTTACTATGTTTTTGTCCATTTTCTGTGGTGTAGTTGTAATCGTATAAAACGTATCTTGGTTCTTTCGGCGGAAGAAACTTCTTCAGTTCTTCAAAGGGTAAGGTTCCGCATTCAAATTCCTGTTCTGTAACAATTTGCCTCTTTTCTTCCTTATTTATTTTCAGAACCAAAGCGTCTAATAAGTGCTTCGTTTTCAGTTTGGTGTCATATGTGGTTACAACGCTATCACCGAGTCCAACTCCTGACATAGCCATCTTGAAAGAAAAAGAGAATAAAACTAGTTCCGGTTTGATAGGACAGGTGAAACCATGTAGGATCGAAATCGAAACGAAATGTATGGCATATTATGCTGCTTTTACCTAAACTTTTATATTAAACTGGCGATCACTCAACTTGAAATGAATTTGAAAAATATATTTCTGATGACTATGAAAAAATATTGATCAGCATTTTTGCATAACATTTTCATCAATCGATTCCGATCCTGAAAGTTATGTGACATCATTAGGGGTGGGTTTTCGAAAAGTGTGCATGGCTATATATGGACATGTGAGTCACATGTTAGATCAAAGACAGAAAATGTCCTTTTGTGGCTAATAAAACTATAAGATCAACTTTTCATATATACTATTAAATTTTATTAAAGATTGGAATTAAAAAGTAAAAATTAGAAGTTTGAAAAACTTGTGGACTTTATTCCCGTTTTTCTACATTGTTTTTTTTTTGTTTTGTTAGTTATACGTCCTTGATTTTTTTTTTTTTTTTTTAAACCTAGGTGATTCCTAGGTATTTTGTGTCCTATTTTTATTTACGTACCAGTATTTATCTATGCCTCGGGAGTCTAGGCAGAAATCATTTCAAATAAAGAATTAAAATTACATAAGAGAAGTACGCCTTTATGATAGGAAAATATATCATAAAATTTAGCTCAAAATCGTCCAAAACAAATTCCGCCTCGCTCCGTTGGACAATAAATATCATGACAAATTTCGGGAATTACACATCCTTTCAAAAATCCGGAATCCGCCTCTACTTTCTCAGTGTACCTATTATATTTTCTGTCAGTTACTTAGCAGAACTTTAAAAAAAAAAAAAGTATACGAGTTATTGTCATTGTGCTTCGTACAACGTCTGTAACTTTTCCTGCAGTAATCCTCAAACTTTAATTACAAAGTTTAATTTGCGGATCATAAGTTGGAAATGCCGGCTGCAAGGGCAAAAACTTGGTGTTCGGATCATATGAAATTGGAAGAATCTTCTTTGAAGTTTTGGAACTTATTGATTTAAAATTTTGTGGAAATGATCCAAATCAAACACCACGTTTAGCTTTTGTTGCCAATCTAAATTTAAGATGGCCATCACCGTTGAACAAAGTTTGACATAGAAACGGCTTATGTGATAATGATCAATACTGACATTCACTATGACGTAGATTTTTTCCAGAAACCATCCCTCATATTTAAAACAAAATATTGCACTTAATTTTGATATAAGGAAGATCCTATATATACAGCAGTTTGTACGTGTTGCCAGACCGAAAATAAAATAAAAGATTACCAGGATGGAACATTGATAGAACAAGCCTCTCTTAAATATCATCTCACACATTAAAACAAAATCATACACAGGTAGTTTCTCTATTAATTAAGAAATAATTCATGCAAGCCACCGATTTGTTGAAATTTTCATATGCCATGTGCCATTAAATATTCGATTTTCAAGTTCCCCGAGCGTTATACGTACGTGAGAGGTATAGATTATCTTTTACGTTGTGCGAAGAATTTCACAAAACGTAACTCAACTACATGCCTTTTCTGAAGGACCCATATCCATAGAAGAACAAGAAGAAGAACATATTTTAGTACCAATTAAGGGCCCACAAGGGGCATATAGAGAATACATGTATAAGAAAAAAGAACATTGATTAGCATAGGCATATAGAATTTAAATACACACTCACAATACAATTAGACTGAAATAAAGCCCTTGGTTTAAAGTATATAATATAGTTACATGAAAAATAAATAGATCTAACTCATATTGACGTCAATAAATTTTCCAACAGCATTAAGGACATGATTGTCTCCACAGCTTAATAAATAAATGAATTTTTGCTGATTGTCCAGTATAGAAAAGTTTGGAATTTTTTGGCAAACAATGTCAAAGAGAGCATCTCTATCAGAGTTAATTTTTTCACATGAAGTTAAAAAATGGATTTCATCTTCAACGCAGCCAGAGGAGCATTTTTTTGCAAATTCTTTCATTTCGTGGCATATTTGAAAAACGGCCTAATTCAATTTGAAGCTTATGAGCAGATATACGTAATTTGAAAATAGCCATATGTCCGTAGCGCGATCTATCAACACAGGAAATATATATATATTCCTTCTCAAAGGGTCAAACAGATATTATCCGAATTTGGAATAACCTTTAGCTTAATTGAGAGTTTCGATTCGTATGGCGTCAAAGGATGTACTTAGGTGAAATTAAAAAAATCTAGAATTCAAAATTGATACTATAAGTCAGAAGAGCCTAAGTTAAGGAACAAAATAAGCTCAAATATTGATAGGTTATGGAGCTCCTTTTCGAGATAATTTTTAAAAAGTGGCGGGAAAAGGCTGACTCTGGCGGACTTTTACCTTATATTTGCATTGGTATTATTTGGGTGTCAAATCGAAAGAAAGGAAATCTAGAATCTGCTTTAATTGAAGAAAACTATTACACTGTATAATCTTCGATGTTTTTAAAGAGAAACAGTAATGAACAGGTGCTTGCATCAATTAGAAAATATGGGCATATGTGTCTCCCCGGCACAGTCGGTGTGGACACATGTACGTGTCCCTCCGACAATTTATACATTTTTTCGAGCTCTGGTGCATTAATTTTTTTTGTTATGATAAGATAAGATAAGATAAAATATTGTTATGAATTAGAATAGAAAGAACAGTTCTGTCGTTTTGTTTTCAATTTCATTTTTTTCAAGTTAAACAGCGAAATCGACATAGTGTTTGCACATAGGTAACGATACAATAACATGTGGATTTACGTGGGAGGTAAACTGTAAGCCATAAATATGTGCATCTGTGATTCTGCGCTAAATATCACGTTGTTGCTTACAACGCTGAAGCAGGACATCATATTAGAATTTTGAGTTTTTGTAATCGAAACAAGGATGGTCACTACTGTGGAACATAATTTATGATATAATTATGTGGGAAACCCATGCAAATAGTTTATCATACAAAAGTAAACAGTCTCGAATATTATAGACTCATTATAACCAACTATACACAGGGGCGGATCCACCATTTTTAAAGGGGGGGGGGGGGTTCCAACCATTTCTCCATTCAAAAGCATTGATGGTAAAAAAAAAAGGGGGGTTCCAACCCCCGGACCCCCCCCCCCCCCCCCTGGATCCGCCACTGATACAATACATGACAATATATGTGCTTATTTCTGATGAGTTTTTTGCTTCTGGTCTGAATTCCAAGACGGCTGTTATCGTTGAACACAGTTTAGCATAGAACCTTCTGAGAAGGAAACAGAAAAAAACTTTCGTCAGAACACATCTGCTGGTGGCACCACCATTCGTAAACTCGCTGAAGAAAACACCTTTAAACATACTAACAATAATAAAAGAATTAATTACTATGGGGGTACTATCCACACTGAACTGTGTCCACACTTGTATGGGAGAAATACATGTATATTTCTATTTGTTTATGAAGCATGAAAAAGTAATAGTAATAATTACCAGATTTTTTACCTTAATGGAAAGCAACACGAATGCTTGTAATTCTCCTTAAAGTTTATGTCAATCTATTGAATAACTATCCAATTTATATCAAACATTGCTTTCTCTGAGTTCTGACCACCGTTTTGATTCTTTCCATATATGGGCAAATGGTTCTTCTTGTTGGACATAAAAGGATATTTACCTATTTTCAAACAGGAGTTATGTCCCATAAGTTTTTTTTAGGAATTTCTTCTTACCTGTATTCTATTTTTATACGACTGACAACATTGTATATATCAATATATTGTATGTAAACAAAGACATATCCTTTTATCTTCGTCATTTGAAATCTGGTGTATAGTTGTCTCATTGGCAATCATACCACATATTTTAGTCAGTATTTCATTACGAACTTACGAAACTTTATACGGATATTATAGACCTCTACCCCATATTTGGAAAAATTCCGTCAGAAGCCGAATCAGTGACTCGACAAAGCCAAACCAACGCTAACAGTAAACATAAAATTATATTCATATGATGATCAATTTATTTTGTGTCAAGTTATAAAAATCATTATAAAAAATTACGTTGCATTCATAGGCCCTTTAATTTGAATAAAAATGTCTTATCTTAATTATCTTATCTATTGGCACTCAAAATACAAAACTGCTTGAAAAGTTGAGGTTGTTAGTTGGGTTGGGGATGGGGGGTAAACTTCTGAAAGTGAAAAATTATGGCCCCAAGCTTTTCTATAGTCTTAAAAATTTATACTTATACTTTTGAAAATGGAGGAGGACTTTCCGCTTTGTCCCCCTCCCCCCGGCTCCTACGCAGTGGTTAATGGAATTCAAGTATGTAATTATCAATTATCAAATAAAAACAAAGAATAAAAGTACTGAAGTACTGTTAACTCCGATGACGCCACAATTTGTTGGCTGTCGAATAAATCATACAATCATACAGAATTACATATCCCTGTAAAATGCAGTTTGTTTTCTTACGTGTTAAATATTTCAGCCACAATAACAAATGAATGAGGTCGATAATATTTATCAAACAGTCAATCAATTGTTAGGTTCTGAGGGCACGAGAAGTCAAAGGGACAACATAAAAAAGATTGAACGTGCTACGCCCTGTCTGAACGCTGGATAATGAATCCAATTGTTCATTTTCCTTTTTTGGACGGTGTTGTTCCTCTGACATCTTCTTACGCGGTGTTTATATATATCCCAACTCGTTCGTTATGCCCGTGTCTGTAGTGACGTTTTGGATTTCAATGAGCGTAATCTATGTATTACTGGTAAATTATGATGGCCTATGATGTCAGGGATTTCGTTACCACAAATTACTTAAAACCTTAACTAAATTCTAACAAAGATACTAAGAGTTGGTTTGCAAGTTTGGCTTTACCTGTAAAAAACTTATTTCAGACGGAACAGCACATCCTAAATTTTACGGCGATGTCGTTTTTGGGCCACTCTCTTCCCACCGGCTGCATACTGGATCATGGTCAGGGCGTTGAAAGCTTCCTCATGATTCAGTAGTTTTATGAGTTTAAAGATGTTTGAATGTGGGTGCTGGACATATTTCTTCAGCTTGCTGTGCCATCTCTCTAGATGTAGTCATCGGTCCCTATGTTGTGTAATGGTCCCAAAGGTGACTGTTCTGTTCGACCCAGTATGTTGTTACATAGTCTGTAAAGGGCGTGTAGTTGATGTTAGTATCAATCTGATCTATGTCGGTTAGGACATTAAACCACACATCTTCGATCATAGTACGTGCCCACATACCATCTATGTTGATTTCATCAATAGTTTTTGGTAAAACTGGAAGGTTCTTCTTGCGTTCAAATTGTTGTACATGCAAATCTTAAAACTACTGAATCATGAGGAAGCTTTCAACGCCCTGACCATGATCCAGTATGCAGCCGGTGGGAAGAGAGTGGCCCAAAAACGAAAGTATGTCGAAATCAACAACAGATTAAAAGAACACCGCAGCCAGGAAGTTACAACAGTACAGTTTGGTGATGCAGCCTCCCACCTTCTTCACGTTGAATAGATTAATAAACTTTAATAGACTTATATACAGTGAATTTCTAATGTGTGTGCAATATGTTTTATTTGTTTTAGTGCTGTTAACTTAAAATGCTTGCTTGAATCTACTGTTGAATTTGTGTTATAAAAGAAATAAAATAATTTACTTATATTTGTTTCCATTTCTTTCATGTCTATTTTAATTAAAAACACAGAATTCATACACATAAAAAAATAACCTATTACCTACCCAACTTGTCAATTAAAAGTTGAATAAACAATGTTTATACAGTATAATCCTTTGTTTGTACAAGTTTTCCCCCTATTCCCACATGAAATTTTAACTTTTCTTATTTATATTAAAAGATTTATAAACAGTGGGAATAGGAGGAATGAACCCTTGTACCATGTCCTTTGTCTGATGCTATTCAACTAATCCGGCAAACTGTTGAACATATAGCAATAATTAAAATCATCAACTGTTTCTGGTATTTGATGTAATTAAACTAAATTTTAAAATTAAAAAAAATATATGCTTTTATGAAATAAGGTGTTTTTACAAGTAACGTAATTAAAAAAAAAAATGAAGCAACATGTACCGTTACTCTGAATAGAAATGCATTTACAAAGAATGGTACTATCATAGTACCATTCTTTGTAAATGCATTTCTATTCAGAGTAACCAGTATCCTCACTATCTAAATCATCTTTTTTTTTTCGGAAATAGATCATTAGAATAATTTGTTTTCTTTTTTAGATTTTACTTTCTATGAGTACCCACAGTATCTTCAAGCAGAACAATGGATATTGATCAGACCAGACAGTCTGGAGAATTTACCATGGATAGAAGTAACAAAAGTGACAGCAACACATTCGATTGGTTTAATGGATATTTTGGGCAGGAGTAGCAGACTGGTACATTGATTCCAAAATCTTGAACAAACAACAACTGAACACATTCTTGTCTCTTTTAAGTGGGATAATGTTAATCTTTACAAAATGCCAGCACAATTGAAATTAATATGGGATAGTTGAAAGAAGA